AAAATATTTTTGCTCGTTTTTGTTCGTTGGGAACAAAAATTTACAATCCAGCCACTTTCAAGAAAAGCGTTGCAGCCAAACAGAGATTGCCTGGGGAAATGTGTAAATTAAGTAGTATATTGTAGTAGTAGTAGTAAATCAAGTAGCATATGCGAAGAAGCTAAGAGTTTTCATGCCACCTGAAACTTCAATTGCAACAAATTGTTCCGATCAGATGATACGAATCAAGGTTGCCGACTGCATACATGAATACCTCAAGGTCGAAACGGCCCGGAAAAGCGATGATGGCGACAGGTTTTCTTAATCCAAGAAATTGGAAGACCGATTTGGCGCACAAAAGCCATATAGAAATCACAAGTCAAGTCAAAAATCGCATTATTCATCCTAATGGATGAAAATGAATGGTGTGATATGAATAAGCTATTCATAGCACTTGCTTTTAATAACAGTGAACGATCGAACATAAACATAAACAGCTTAAATCCGGACATAAGACGGTAGCAACTACAAAATCCTGTTCTTTTCTTTGACTTTGTCACATTCCAAATGGATAGAATACTTCCTGAGGTTGATCCGACCGAATCCGAAACAACGGAACACGGATGAAGCAAAAACGAACGAATGCGATGCGCGAAGGATAATAAAAGCACCATCATTGAACAGCATACACAAAATAGGAATAATTCCATACTGCATCGGTCGTCGCGCAGGATAATCAGGACCACGCTGCCCATTGCATCGAGCGGGGTGGGTAGTGATCAATAGGTAACTGCTCAGATTTCCCAACCTTTGTTTAATTTCAAAGGTGGATTCGTGTATAAAGCAAATGCTGTGTGAAGTGAGAAACCGGGAAGCACTATACAGCTAATTCGACCAACCAGGTCGAACAGTCCTGGTCGACAACAGATGCAGTATGGATTTATTCTTATTTTGTACAAGCACTGCGGTTTCACAGACAGGTACTGCTAGGGTATCCAGCCACTAAGCAGGAGAACGATCAGGATTCTCGTCCAAAGCATTTAATTCTAACAAGAATCTAACCGCAAGGTAGCGAGTGAGCCGAAGTGGAGGCCCATTTACCTGGATCGACTACTTCTCCACCAATTTTACCAAGTGAAACGCAAACTTCAGTCTTTTAAGTGCAGTGCGTCTCCAGGGTTCAATTAGCGTCCGGAAGGGAAGCAACATCCAAAGGTGTTTGTTCATCGTATCAGCACCGACCGATTGCAGTTCCGATGCCCAAAAAGACGCCTTCTACGATGACCTCACCGATCTCATTCGGATGAGTCGAAGCTCCGACATAGTTGTATTTGCAGGTGACTTC